GAAGGAAGGCTCCAAGATTTAAGCAAACTTTCTGTTTGTTTTGTTTAGTTTAATAGACTTACAATCATCTGCATGACTACTAGCAGTATCAGAAGGAGTTTATCCTGGTCAGTAATTTTTTTTTAACAATTTGTTTCTGAACTATTTATAATATAGCATTTTAATCTTCTATTTATATTCACAGACACCCCCAAAGATTTCCACAATAAAAAGGCACAGTGCAACAAACGTTTGTGCAGTACCAACCAAACTTATCCTCTGTCCTTTCTGTTTTAACTGTGCTATATCAAATGGCATTAGGATGGGTGGAATGGTGGGTAAACACTAGAAAAAGAGAATAAATTTTATAAAATCAAATCCAGGATATGGAAGCATATTTGTACTGGAAAGATGCACCTACAAGTGATAGGTGACTAAGGATGATTAAAATTAATCAGTGATAACAAGTACTGATCAGGACAAAGTCCAACTTGTTTATTAATGTTGAAACAAATGTCAACTACTAATCCAATTGGTCCTTTCAGAGGCAAAATTACAGATTTTATAACATCTAATAAGATTTTGGGAAGCAGAGAAGGAATGACGGGAGCACAGGAACATCTAGATTTATTTATTTTTCTCACAATAGGAGCAATGACATTTTTTGGAGTAGCTGGTTGGCTGGCAACCTGTCCTACCTGCCTTCCTTTCTTTTTGAAGGCAGGACTGACTTGACTAATGATTTTGTTGCACTAGGTTCAAACAATTATTAGCCCCAATATCATGACTAAGCTAGAATGTGAATTCAGGTGGCCCCAGCCAACTGTCCTTGGGATCCCCGAGATGCTGTCACAGGTATCAATAGACTTGTAGATATCTTCTTTGGGCTCTATTAATGTTAAAATAATTTATTTTTAAAGAAATAAAAGCTGTGTTTTGCTATAAAACGGTGCTATTTTCCAGCATTTTCTTTCCCAGGATACCATTGGGTGCTACATGGAGCTCATAAATATTTTCAGAATATAAAAATAGCACCCAACTGCAGGTCAGTGTGTGGCTTGGAAGCATTTTCCTTCCACCCCTGAAATGAGATAAAAATAAGCTATGGGGCAGGTATGTAGCACCCAGAAAGGAAAGAATGGCGGGAAGGGTTCCCACTCATTTGCATGCTGGTAAATGTATACTTCTTGGCTGGCTATTCCCCATACAGCAGTTGTTATGTGAAAATGTCCATAAGATGCAGTCCAAATTCCAGAAGTGCCCACCAGCCCAAAGAGGTTGTGAATTTGTCTTGTAAAGAAAAAACTTCATAACTGGTGAAATGTTATGGTCTATAGCAGGAGTACTGTTGTTCAGGCCTTCAAAAAATCAGGTACAAAAGTCTGTGTATACAATATATACAATTTGCAGGAACAAGAGATCAAGATGAGAAAAACAAAGGGACAAGCAATGACACCCAGTGAAACCTCCCGCTGTTCTATAGCCTAAAAGGGGACGGCCAGGTCTGAATGTGACACTTTATTATGACAAAGTGGGAGAGGCAAATTCAGCAGAGAAGGAAATGGGAGGGGCATCCTTTTTCTTCGTCTTTTTTTTTTTTCCTGCAAGAAGTCATCTAGTTAGGAGGCCTTTTTAAACTTCACATGTGCATCTTCATTACTCTAACCCAGTGTTTTTCAACCTTGGCAACTCTAAAATGTGTGAACTTCAACTCCCAGAATTCATGCTGACTATAAGGACGTATACATGTATTTTGACAACAGTAACTCTTCCAGAGTGTTTTTGACTTTGAAGTTAGCCTTGTGATTTCCTAGGGGCCTCCCATTTAAGTGTTAATCAGGGCCTACCCTGTCTAACCTTTGAGCACAGACCAAGTCCAACCAGGGGCTGCCATCTTCTGAGACATTAATGGAAATAACGTTGCTATTTGTAGAAAGCTATGTTAAGAACCAAATGTGTACATGTCACTGTAATGACTGATATACATCTTGTTCATATGTCCCATATGCCCAAAGTGTTAAATATGAAATAGTAGTTTAGATCCAGCACAATATTTGAATTAGACTATAAGGTTTGTAGCCCAGAATCTATACTTTCCAATGAGACTCTAGACTGAGGTTTTTCCAAAGAAAATACAGCTTTTATTTTGGCCAAGAGAAAAGCAGGGTGGACCACTCTCTGTCCGACTGGCAGAGAGAAGACAGAGAACAGCCACACCCTAAAACAGTTTACAACAGCTTTTATACCTTTTTGTCATCAGGAAGCATCTAGGAGGAGGGCCCCACACAAAAGAGTGCCCCCCTTTTAAGGTTGACATAAAATTAGCTTTTTTTTTTTTTTTTT